GCCAACATGGGGTTAAAAGAATCTTTTTTCCCAAGTACCTAATCCTGACCTGAGAGAGGGTAGGAAGGGATCCTGGAGCGAGTGAGCCAGCATCAGCTCTGTCTGGGGAGGAACAAGAATGGCAATGAGGGAGGGGAGGGTGAGATTCCAGAAAAGGAGAATACAAAAGGCTGCTGTGGCATATCACAGTGAAGGTGGGGACAGCTTAATTTCACAGCTGGGACCCCAAGCCTGGGTGAGGCTGGGAGAGTTCCGAAGCAAGTCAGATCACATGGGTCTCAGGGAAAGAACAAGCGAGGCACAGACAGGGTGCCTTCAGCATTGAGTGAGACTTCTCTGGTCTTGGCTGTGATACTTAGAGGCTAGTATCTCTCTCTTTAAAAAAAAAATTCTTTGTTTAAAAGTATTACATATGTCTCCTTCCCGCTGCCACCCCCATGACCTCTCCCCAGCCATTCCTCCCCGCCAGCACATGCCCTCAGACCCCCACTGTCTGTGTCCATGAGTTATATGTGTACCCCCCACCCCCGCACCCGCTATTATCTCTTGATCAGAAATAATAATAATAGTAGAGCAGGCGTAGTTGTTGTAAATGGATTAGTGGTAACAGCAGCAGCAGAGCCTCTGCCTCCTACTAGCCACTGCACTTGGGCATTTGCTTCTGATCTACCCCTTGGCCCTGGAGGGCAGGGATTGACCCCTTTTCTCTGAGTCAAGTTGCCCAAAGTAGCACAGGCAGCCGCAGGTAGAGCCAGGATTCAAACCCAGGTCCCTGTCCCCACACCGAGCTGCCAGCAGTCCAACACCCTGGTCAACACCGTCTGCCTGTCTCACTTTCTCCTCCATGATGCTGGTCTCCGATCTATTTATATTCACTTCTTAGTGATCTCAACCAGGCCCATGGCTTGAAAGCTTAACTTCTGCCAGCATGCCCACCTACCCAAGTATTCCTCTCCACTCTCCCTAAAAGTCTTCCTTGACTGCTGCCTTTGCCTCAGCGTTCCCATCCAACCCATCAGTAAAGCTGTCCTTTCCACCCCAAAGCCCCTCTGCTTCTACTCCTCTCCTCTGCCTCCACTCAAGTCCAAACCACTACTATGTCCCCACTGGACCACTGAAACAGCCTCCCAAATGGACTGGCCCGCCCCCAGCTGCTCTCCACCCAGGAGTCAGAATGAGCTTTATAAACCACTCCTGAGGCCACACCACCTGCTCAGAGCCCTCCACCACATGTGGAATGAAGTCTGCATCCCATGAGGCCGTCCATGCACCGGCATCAACTCCCATTCTCTCTCCTATGCCTTATAACCAACCATACTGGCTGCCTCTTGGTTCTGCAAATATTTTTTATTCTCTCTCTGATGCTCCTTCGGCCTGAAATAGTCTTTCCCCCCATTCTTTGCAAGGCTGGATTTTCCTCCTTCTTCAAGCTGTTCAAATACTACCCCCTAGGCTGTCTCTAATCTTTCTCTCCCAGGCCTGGGGCTCAGTGGTGGGGTTCTTAGGGCCATGAACAGCTCCACATCTCTCTCCTTCCCTCCAGGACCTCCCACCACTGTCCCCACTTAGAATCACAGCTCTGTAGCTGGTTCTCCTTCCCCAGACAGGGTCAGATAGACAAGGAGTACAGACAGGCATGGGATCTTTCCAGATTGGGAGCAGAGGGGCTGCAAAGGCCGTTTCTTTTGCCAGAGACAAATATCTTTCCATCTCTGAGAATGATCCAGGATGTTCTTCCATCCCTAGAAAAGCGTTCTCCCTACTTTTCAACAAGTCCTCTCTCCCATCTGCCCCCCCGTCTCTCAGTCCTGAGGCTCTTTTTATTCTGTGGGGGACAAAGTGGGGGAACTGAGAGAGCAGCCTCCTTCGTGAACCAGTCCTCCACACACTTTCCAGCCTCTGAGAGGCCTTGTGGGGTCAACCCCATTCCCGTGCTGTCATGCATCCCTCACACGCTAGTTTTCTCTGTCACTAAGTGGAAGACACATCCCTTTCCCCCACCAGCTCCGAACCTCCAAAGCTCTCCAGGACTTTTACCACAGACACCGAATCAGATCATTTGGCAGGAGGGAGTCGGGCAGTGGGGGGGGGCAACTGATTACAGAAAGGCGGGCCCCATCGTGTTCCCTCCTGACCTGGAGAAGCCAACAAGCTTAGTCTCTGCCATCTCCATGGCCCAGTCTCACTGCCCTCAAGTATCATTACAGCTGCCTAAGAGTCCCCTTTAGCCGGTCATCCTGTCACATCCTTAGGCAAAGAACACAATAAACCCCTGCACTTTTGTCTCCACTGAAACTCCCATGCCCATGTCAATGTCACCCGCTGACTTGAGCAGCCCAGTTTCTCATTTGAGTCCTGCAGCCACTCCCTTTCTCTGCACACTGGTTGCCTCTTCCCACATGAGAACTTTTAAGACCTCAGGGACCCAAGGAGGCTGCAGAAGGACCTATGGATTCTTAGGCCTAGAGATACGTAGACACCAGGTCTCAGGGAAAAGAAGCCAGCCCCTCTCCCTTCTCTCCCACCTGCAGGGGACCATGGCTTCAGAAAGGCACGCCCTCCCCTACAGTTCTGCATCTCTTTTCACAGAGGAAAGCTCAGTTCTGCTTCCCTAGGAACCGGAACTGCAATGCCAAGGTCTTGCACTGAGAACTCTTTAGGGTTACTTTCTGGGCAAGTCACTCTGCCTAGAAAGTCAGGCCTTGGGCAGGCCTTTCGAAATGTCCTTGCCTCTCAGATACACAGCTGGCCTCCAAGAGTGAAACCCTGTGCTATCTTCGCCCACAATACCAGCATTGCTTAACTTCCTCCCCTCCCCTCGACCAAGTCCTCCACCACCCTCCACCTCCCAGATTTCTAACTGTGAGGTGAGTTTTGTCTCTTCTCTGCCTGACTGAAAGACAGGTGGCCCCCAGGCACAGGAAACACCCATTCTCAGGCTCTGTGCCTCGCCCAAAGCCCTACTCCTGAGAGTGGCTCATCTGTCAAATGAATGAGTCAGGAGGCACTTGTCACATCCACATAACACCATGGCCTGCCACTCCTTCCTCCCAAACATCCTTTAGATCTCTTTTTGTTCTATTTGTACAGCAAATATCCTCATTTTACACCTGTATTACTCCTTGTAACTGGCCCTTTTATCTCTAGTTACCACAACAGACCCCAAATAAAGCAGCAAGAAAAACTTTCCTCATGAGTTCTCCCAGCAGAGAAATCTAGTGGCTCTTGACCTTGTGAATTCCAGACTCTCCAATATAGCTTCAGCGCCACCCCTCTCAATACTTCAGCTGCTTTTCTTACTGCAGATGGTGATCTTCACACAACCGCGATCCAGTTTTCATGGAATGCCGTTTACAGATAGAATCCCATTTTACACAAGGGGGTGGCTATGTGAAGATACCAATAATTCTGTAATGTAAACATTCCCAATATACAGGTTTGGCTCAT